TCTCTCTCTCTCTCTGTTTCATTTGTAGCACTGTGTGTTCAGTATCCTCACTGCAGTTGGTACGAATTAATTTCTCTCTCTGTATATATTAGCCACGGTGGCCATCTTACACAGTGGCATTATATTGAAACCTTTATATATATATATATATGGAATGGGAAGTTAGGGTTTGCATTGAGGTGATTTCCCCATACAATTAGTTGGCCGTTAGAGAATGTTCGACTGTAGTAGATAAAATTCCTCATCACATGGGAATCGAACTGCGTAACTTGGCGATGGCAAACCACACTGTCCCCAAAACGCCCACTTTCGGAATAGATCCACAAAGAGCCTTGAGCTCCTAATTTTGTTCTATGGCACAGGTTCAAGGTTGGACCGTGAAGGCCGGAATTCTCTCTCTCTCTCTCTCTCTCTCTCTCTCTCTCTCTCTCTCTCTCTCTCTCTCTCTCTCACTATTTCAAGTGAGGCACCATTTTCAACCTAATCGTTCTCATAAGAGAATAAGCTGGTCCATGTCTTTGCCTTCAGTCCCTGGGCATTGTACAGCTCTGCAATGGACGTGAGAGAAAACACGTTCCTTCACGTTGCTCTGGAAAGCACTTTACAAATAAAAACGCGATTAATACACTCTAAAGACCACTGGAGCATGGCTGCATCTCTACTTGACTCCGATTTTAAACCCCTCATATGATCCTCAATAACTATTGAGAGCACTGTTTATACCGTCCTGGAATTACACGCGATTCTAAGGTGGGTTGTCGGGGAACCAAGCCTTTCATTCAATTGAAAGAGTCCTTAGGGACACACTGGATAAAAAGTCCTTTTAATGTCTTCTCGGAGATTTCAGTGATTTGTTCTGCTTTAGTAAGGAGAACGCGGCGGCTATTGTGGACCCTTTTGCTCGAAACCCACGGTGTGAAACAGGGTATGTGTTCAAGAGGCTGGAGTCTTTTCAGCACATCTTTGAAGATTATTCTGCCCAATATGCATATATGCAAACAATTGTTTCGTAAACTATATTGACACTTTTGAACAAATAAATATAACCCCCACCACCCCCGCCCCCACACAAAAATGCACACATACGACACACACACACACATACACATACACACACATACAAACTCAAACACATACATACATACACACACACACAAACACCTTATAGTACCTTTTTTCTTCCATCGCTATCCTTCTTCTCTCTCTCTCTCTCGCTCTCTCTCTCGCCCTCTCTCTCTCTCTCTCTCTCTCTCTCTCTCTCTCTCTC